TTTGGGAGAGGTTATCTAGAACCCTTACTGGACACTTGAGCGTTTGTGGGTTTGCATCAACACTGGTGAAGAAGCTGAAGTAGGAATGGCATGTAGGCATTCTGGGTTTTGTTGCTATCTTTATAGTTTTTGTCCTATCCAAAATGACGTATAATTGCTGTCAGAAAAGGTCTGTAATATCTGCCTTGTTTTCCTCAACTCTCATGTTACGAAAGCTAAGTTATAAAGCAGAGTGGGGAAAAAACGCCTTGATTTAGGAAGGGAAGCACTGAATTGTCTGCTCTGTTTTAGGAAGTCAGTGTCCAATATAGGTGATTGGGAGGTGGAATTGGTCATCCAGTGGGAGACCCAGCCAGTCCTTAGCAGAGTAATATTCTAGACAGCCATGGAAAAGATGGTGACTGAAGCTTGGCTGGCCAAAGGGAAGCTGAAGGTTGCGCGTGTCCAAGCATAACACATATTTGTATCCCTCAGAGGAGTCTTACCAGGTAAATACATCATTAGGTTGGCCTCTTTGTAGAGGTGGAGAGTTTGGAGCTGGTTGCAGATTCAAATACCCCATCTAGCTCTTTCAGGACTTTGGGAAGGAGGATGTTCTTGGAGAGTTCTGTCATCAAGCACAGCTTAATGACTTCAGGTAAAGAAGGGTGGCTAGCAAAGTTCTTGAAGCTAGTTAGTATCTGCCTAGCCACACTGGGCTGGGTCCTCCTTTGCGTCCTGAAGGACAGAGGATTCTCGTTAACCCCTGCTGCTGTTGTGGAAACAGCTCTCGTGTTTATAAACTCAGTGTTTGTGCTCACGTTTGGGTCAGTAAGGAGGCAGTCCTTCTGTAAGATCTCGGTTTGGCATGTGCTCAATTTGTCTTCATCGCACTGCTCCCGTGACACTGGGTTGCTTCCACCTATTTCACAATGTTCACTGAGCTCATTATAAGAGATCAAGACCCTTTACGGTGATGCTTTGCTGCTGCTGCAGTACTTACGGTGCTGCCAGGGTTTGGAGTCAGCCCTTCTGTGATCAGTTGCCTTACACTGGGGTAAAAATACAGTAACGTGATACCGAATCAGGTTCTGCATTTTTAAAAGAGGTGCGGACGCTAATTAGTTTTCGAAGAGCCCCTGCAGATGGAGAAGCTGAACTGCTGAAAGTCGCATGGTGGGACAGAGATGTGATTAGGACTTTGTGTGAGACCTCCTCCCTTTCAGTCCTGTGCTCGTAATTCTGTGGTGCAGGATGCCTTGCCAAAGTAGTCCTGAGTACTGTCTGATAGAAGATCTTTTGTTCATAAGCAGGCAAGAGTGAGGCCTATTACCATGCGGTCTTACATTGTCTGTTCTTTACAGTAGTTTATTTTTTGTAAGCTACAGCACATTTTAATATAATTGTTAACACGCCTAATTTGCAATCACACAGTCTATCAATAATAATGGAAGGTTGTTCACAGGTAATAAATTAGCATACCATATAACTAGCAGAACTATGGTTCTTAGTATATTGTTTCATGATCAAGAATTCAGTAGTTAAATATACACAGCAGTGGGCTGAGAACAAGCTGTTCATTTTTGCTGTGAGCAGTACCAGTGGACCAGAGTAATCATAGCTCCCAAAAGCAGGACTGATTTTATTGATTTTAAATAGGCTTTCATTAGAGAACTGAGCCTATTACAATTGCAAGGAGTATCACTGCCATTTGTATTCACAGCACTGACTGAGGGAAAGGAGATGTATTGCTGAATGCAGTGCAGAGGATGCTTGTCCCTTGGAGTGTTATATTTGGTTCTGCTGAAACATCTGAATTTATTTAAAAGAAAAATACTTCAGGCCTTTTTCCTATGTGGTTAGATACAACTTTTTTAGAAATGTGGTTAGACCCAACTGCAGCTGTGAAATTTGAAAATCTGAGGAGTAAGGATCTTGCTTATTTATTGGCATCTGACTTAAGGACAGGCTGTATTTTGCTCCATTTTCTTAAAGTTCTCTTTGGAAATGTTCGTCTTTCTCTTTTTCTGTAGATTAATGTAGAAAAGCAAATACAGGATCCAGTGAATAAACTGTTGAGTCTGAGATATTAATGTATTCAAGTTATAATTAGTTAAGAACACATACTGTTACCAGAAATGCGTCATTAGTCTGCATGGAACAGTATGTGGCTATTTGGTGCTAAATTAGTGACACTTAAAAGCAGTCTCTTTTTGTATTGTTTTGAATGATAAAGAAAACTTTAGAACTGTGACAAAAAAAAAAAGAAATCTATGTGCACTTAAGCAGCAGTCTGTTTTGTTGTTTGGGTTGGTTTGGGGGTTTTTTGGTTTGGTTTGGGTTTTTTTTTGGTGGTTGTTGGGTTTTTTAGATTTACACAAAGGCTTGTTTGTCAGTGGACAAACAGAAATTCATTGAAGCCATAATTACCAAATGCAGTGCTGTTGAAAAAGCTGTACTATACTTCATGGTGCTGTAAAGACATGTTGCTTGTGCCAGGTTCTCTTCAAATGCGGTATTTGTAACTTCACAGCCCTGCTTGAACATTTTCGCGGTGTTACTACAGCAGTTTGGAAGGGTGCTGATAGAAATTAATAACAGCTTTTTGGTTTTGATGGATTTAATACTGACTTTGCACACTGCTTTTTTGATTATTTATTCACTTTTAGTAAAGCCTACAAGTGAAGGAGAATTACTTCATATATTCCACCTAACCCCACATTTTTTTGGGGATAGTCACTTATAACATAATGTGGGAATTCAGGTAGGAGATGACATAAAAACGTTGTGTGAGTGTTTCTAGAAATCGGCTCTTTAAATAAGATGGTGATGTTAAGTAGTGAATCAACTTAAGTGCTGAATGATCACGCCTAGTTATTGTAAAATAAGATCTGGCTGGTTTACTTCATTTTACAGAGCTTGGGCAAATAACTATTGAATTAAATTGCTTCCTGTTGGTTTCCCCCAGGGCAAGAAGCACTTGCTGTACTGTGCTCTGCTGAGCTGCTGTATTGATTAGTTCTTCAGGTCTAATCTTTCCACAGTTATGCTTACTTTCTAGTGTGTTTGTTTATGTTTTTGATAGTTGTTTTTCTGAAGTTATTGTATTGCCTTGATAGTCCTCTAGTGGATTATAAAATGTACAGTTAATTCCTTTCTCTAACTTCATTTGTTGTACCCAAATGAAGATAATCAGCAGTCGTGTAGCGTGCTGGTTAGGAGTGAGGGTAATGATCACTCACGTAATTGATATCACGTATCACTGACAGTCAAAAGTCGTCTTGTCGGGATGGTTGGCACCTAAACCTGATCTAATTAAGTGCTTGCTGCATCTGTTAACAATACTATATTAGATTCTTTATCACAGCAGCTATTGTGATTTTAGAGTTTGCTTCTGCAGGTTGGAAAGTGATTTATAGTTTTAATTCGTGTTAATAATTTGTGTGCTTAGGAAACACTTGATATAAAACTTTTTGTTGCATTTAAATTTCCTTGTTATCTGCCTTGCAGCGGCATGAATAATAGGGAGCACAGAACATGAATATACTGAAATGTATGAAGTATTTTCAAGGAGAGTGCGTTTAAGGTTCAGAATGATGTATGTCAAATGTTACTGAATGGATAAACATGTCAAGGGATTTTGCCTTGAGAAGCTTGGAAATCAGGCATCTTTTAGTACTGTACTACCAATAGCTGTATTGAAAATGCGTTTCTGTCTTAATACAGGAAATAGAATATTTATTTCATAATATTTATTCTATGCAATGATCCAACTTTTTTTCTAGTTGTTGAAATATATTGTCCTGGAACTTTGAAATGACGTGGTGTCAGAGCTGGTCTGCACCAAAAACTGCCACACCTCCCAACTTCTATTTAATCATCTGTGAAATATTTTTATGTAATAGGAGCCTAGAAAGCCTGTGTTTGTTTGAATGGAACTATCTGTATCCTTTGTGCCACTTAAACTGTAAATCTATCAGTTTAACAACAAATTCTCATGTTTTCTTGCATACTTGCATAGAATATTGTGATTCAAGGTGTGACCTCATCCAAACATCACTGAAATCAGAGATTTCCACAGAGTTTGGAGGGAGTTGACTCAATCACAGAAGGGTAACAACATTAGCTTTTTCTAGGCACTGCTTAGTGACATGTTAACATTGGGATCTCAGACTTCTCAAAATAGCTGGCAGTATTATGATAAATGGGCAAAGTAACACTAATAAAAATCTTACAGGCACCTGGCAGGTCTTTATGGCTCAAGAATCTGCTGTGGTTCATGGAGCTGCAGAGATCATGAGTGATGTTTTTGTCTGGTTGGGTTTTTTCTTTTCCCCTTTTTCCTCCTGTTTTCCTCTGTGAGCGTGACAGGATTGTTTCTGTTTGGAACGTAGGTCTTGGTGCAGTTGCTTTTGTCACTGTGTCTTGCCGCACTTTGTGGTTACTAAGATACTGTTGTGCTCACATTGCCAAAGATTCAAGTGGTGCCTCTCAAACAGATGAACGTATTTTCGCAGCTACTGCCCTTGCTCTACACTTACCTGCCCTTTGGAGATGGAGATTTCTTCTAGGACCACATCCATAGCTTTGCTTACATGTATTCAGAGCGAGGAATGGAATTTGTTTTCCTTGATGAGCATTTGTTTGTTGTGCATTCCAGACAAAATATGATCCGATCCATGTTTTAAAAACTGTGCCAGAGTGTAAGCCTTCAAACTGTATGCTGGTGATATGGTTTGTTGTGCAGGCCGTGTAGCATTAATAGCATGGTTTTGATCTAAATAAGGACATAGTTATCCAGCTAATAAGTAGTGTATATTTATCCTTTAACTTCCTTGAACAATTCTTTTTTGCAAGATTGCTTTATAAAAATGCTGAATTGACTCGTTTTCTTTCTCGCTGGTTATGAACAACTTCCCAGTGTTTCTTAAAGAGTCTAACCTGGAAATGCTTTTTGAATTTGCACCAACAAGCTCGATAAATGACACATGATAGAATAGCAATGTGCTTTTCTTTTGCAGAGGCAAAGGAAATTGTTCTGAAGGCACAGATTCTGGCTGGAGGGAGAGGAAAAGGTATTTTCAATAGTGGATTGAAAGGAGGAGTTCATCTAACTAAAGAGTAAGTCTTTAAAATTGAAAAAGCATAAAAAAATTGCTTCTGTTGTAATATTTAAGCTGTTTGCAATAGCTATGTGACTGTTTCTTTTAATATCTTTCAATAAACTAACCTTTTTCCTTTGTTTGTAGTCCTAAGATTGTTGAACAGCTTGCTAAACAGATGATTGGGTACAATCTGTCAACAAAGCAAACTCCAAAGGATGGTGTGACAGTTAAAAAGGTAAGATTTTTGCCTCTTGAAAGTTGAGGACTGTGTTCAGTTGCAATTTTGCATTAATAAGCTGGAGTGTATGACACAGATTTTTTTTTTTTTTTCCTTCTTTTGCCAGTGCCTGATTGATTGCATCTAGTTGATGAAAGAAAAAAAAAATATTTAGCTTTTTCTTTCTTTCTGTGTATGTATCTGTCAATTTCAGCATGCCTAGTGGTGGAAAAATTAATTTGGTTTTGCTAGGAAAGGGAATCCTTTGTTTTAGCTTTGTCCTTCATCAAATACATACTAAATGCTAGCATAACCATACATGCTTATTGATGTTCTGCTTAGAGAAGTAATATATACACAATTACCCGTAGTAATAATATTATCAGTATTTCATTCATCAGCAGCTTTGGGCAGCTGTTATTAAAGGTAGTGACAGATTACTTTGCATGAGAAGTATCTCAATTTAAAAAAACAAACCAAAATGAAGCATCTAACAGTAGATTCTTCCTGACTTGTTGCAGATACTGAGTAAAATGTGGTCATGGTAGTGGTTCAGCTAGGATGTGGTAATTCATTTACCTATAATGGTGCACACTGCAAGGTGCCAAGAGTCACTTCAGCATAGATGTATTGCTTTAAATTAATGTATTTGCCTAAACAAGAGAAGCATAGATAGCCACTCAGCAAGATTCTCCTTTACCTTAATAAAATTCTGTAAGTCAGGAAATCTTAGCAATTGGCTATCTACTATATATATTTTTATCTCTTGCTCTGTTTTACTGAGTAAGGATCTTCATACAGGTATGTAGTCAAGAGCCACACTGTATTTGATGCCAGGAGATAATTTGGCATGAGCTGAAAAGAACTGCAGTTCACATTTAATATATTGTGAACAGCTTGGGATATTAGCATAGAAGGGGAACACCTGTCTGGAAAGATACTGTCTAATGAAGGCTGGAGGAAGGTGCTCAGGTGGTTCTCCTCTTGGGGGGCAAGGAGAGCAGATTACCATCACTCCTCAGTTGTTGTTAAAAAGAAATACTAGATATTAAAAGGAAGGAACAGTATTACTGTTAAGGCATATTTTGTCAAAGATTGTGATAATACTAAGGCTATAAAAAAAGGATATACATTTCCCATATTAAGGCACTCTGCTTTGAAAAATTTGTATTGTAAAAGCAGCTTTCCTTTATAAATTCTTTGGTTTTATTCTTTTGCCCTAGTTAACCTACTTTGAATACGTCAATACAGGAAATTTCACTCTTCTGTCTGAATGCCAGTCTGTCCATTCATTTACATATTCAGTTCTGAAAAAGAAACTTCTCATTTTCTTTGAAATTGATAGACATGAAAGAAAGGGATGGGCATTGGGTGTTTTTGAAATGGATTATTCAAAGGATTTATATTAAGATGACTTTTGTACCACGTATAGAATAGCTGTAGAAGATTTAACTTGTAATTGCTTTTCTCCCCATCCACACATTGCTTGTATGAATAAACAACGGTCAACAGTAAACAGCTAGGGCATATGTGAAGTTTTAGGTGAAATTTGCAATACTGAACTTCAGATACTTGTTTTTGAGGTACAGGAAAGTATATAACCTTGATAGACTGCATTTTTCCTTTGTTGTAGAGTTACATGGAAACTTTTCAGGACACAGCTTCCAAGTATTTTAGTATTGATGCATGATAAACCAGTGTGATGCTTTTCACTGGGGGAAGCTGATCATCTGTTGTCATAGACTTCCATTCTGGTTATAGAGTTGGCTTTTAAAAGCCCTAGGCCAATTCGTATCTGCATCACACACATATGTAACAGGGTAATAGTATCTTTTCTATTTTTGGTGTTGAGATCTTGATTCTTGGTAATTTATGGTAAGAACATACACCCTGTCTTCGATTAATTAGTTACATAACAGTTTGGGCAATGGTATGCTAATTGTTTCCCCATTGCTTCTTAGATAATGAGGAAAGCATATTTGAAATTACGCATCTAGGTCATCAAAAGACCATTTCCCAGAAAAACTGATGTCTTTTAAAAGCATTTATCTTTTCCAAAGTTACCTCACTCTAGGATCTTCAAAGTAGTTATGGGAGTTGAGGCATTCAGGTTTTAGCATCAGGACTACAGCGTCAAACACTGAAATTTTAATCAAGGGGCAAACTACAGTAATATGATTGAAAGTATAAATTTAGCTGTGTCTAGGATGTCATTTAATGCAGTGGGTAGTTAGTGCAGAGAAAGTGCCGGACAGACTCTTCGAGCTTGCTAAGAGCAGTGGGGAAGCTGAGAATTAATATTTGGCATTTTTGTTCTATTTCAGGGCATATGCTTTCTCTGTATGTGTACGTAAGAATACGTGTGTGTACATGTACTTAAAGAAGATTGCAGTTCAGGAAGAAAAGAAAGGCATGTGTTTTAGGTTTTGTGGTTTTTAAACTTTTTGGTGTTTTGGAAAGTTTGAGTGAACTCATATGTTTTAAAAATTTTAAGTAATAAATGTTTTTCAGAAGGAAAATAGTTATTAAGTCAATGAGCTAGTGTCAAGTCAGGGAGTAGAAGTCACATACCTTTTACATGTATTTGCAAGGAAGGAATAAAAGACATTTTCTACAATTAGAATAATTATGGAGCGGAAAATGGAGATTTCAGCTTGCTTTCTCAGCTTGTGCACTTACTACAGAATTTAAAGCATGTTTGTGCTTCTTTAGATTGATGTTACTCAAATAAATGGCAGTCTCCTCAGTTCCCTTGTAACTTGGAAGCTATTTTGTGAGTTTACATAAAATCCTCTTATGGCAGCTTGGAATTTGGAGTGCCTGGTTATCTAAGACGACAGTCTTCTCTTATCATGACAACCTGAGAATTTGCTACCTGTGTTTTCTCTCCAAGCAATAACATAATTAACATTTTGAATATTTGATTCAGTGTAAAAGAGCTGTTATAGTTACCCTCATAAAATTAGATGTGTGACTTAAACTTTTAGGTAATGATTTGTTTTTGAGAAGGAAAGCTTGAAGTTGTCAGGAAGTTTTAAAGAAAACTGATTCCCCAGGACATTTTAAATATAAAACTGATGTGGTAAACAGATAATGATGCTTCACTTTCTTTATCATAAGCCAAACAGACAAAATAAGAGAAGAGTCAACAGTCTGTAGATTCAGTTTCACTGCTCTGTTCATTAATGTGTTTGCATTAGTTTTGTCATGTGAATGATAGGTAGACTTTAACAAATAATATTTAAAGACCTTGAACACCAATTTCCCTGGCGTTGCGCTGCATTAAGCAGGGAGGGCGGTGAAGGAAAGTAACTGTTTTTCGTTGGGAGAAATGAGAGATGTTACACAGTCTGACAATTTTTACTCTACGGTAAGCTTGCCTACTACAAAGTAGATGGACTCTCAATCGTTTTGTGAATTAAGACAGAGAAGTATTTGCCGATGTTGACATGGTAAATTAGCAACAGTGGGGACAATCACTCAGGTTGTAAGTAGCAGTTGAAAAGATACCTGATTTAATAATGTGAGTTCCACCTGCCGTGCTTGCAAATGTGCTCCTCAAGACTCGTCAAGTGGATTCCCGTCCGAAGGCTGGCCCTGATCCTGAGCACTGTGGAAAGTGTCTGAATAGCTCAGACAAGATCCAGTAAGACCAGCTGGTTTTATTTGACCTATGTCTAAAGCAATTGACTCACGTTTTTCAGGTACATTGATGCAGGATATGTAAGAAGGTGAAAATATGCATGCAGGTAAAAAGACTGATAGTAGCAAATCAAGGATGCTTTCCGTATCTTTGCTTGTTAATTCAACAAATCTTGGCATGTAGCCGAGCTATGTTTCTGAAGTTGGCTTTTAGCATCCCTTTATAGTAGCCTAAAATACGCAGATGCTTTTAAGTAGTACAGTAGTCTTCTACATTCTTAGTTGTTGTCTTCACCCTAGTTTTATTTAGTTTGCTTTTGAAATGTCACTTATTTAAACTATTCCTTTACATCACCCTATGTTCTATGCATAAAGCAAGGTCAAAGTGGAAGGAAACAAAATTACTATAAAGCAAATTTCTTTTGCTTTATAAAAATGTCATAAAAATAGCATCTTCCCTTCCATTCTGAGCACAGAGAGTTTTATTTAATTCCTTCTCTCTTACTTTTTTTTCTGTTCTGTAAAGATGTACAGCCACGCAGAAGGTACGTACGTTCTTTCTTATGTACTCTGGAGTAGAATGTCAAAAAAGCAACTTGACTGAAAGTCTAGTGCATTTTTCTGGTTTATAGTCCTTGAACTATGAAAACGCACAGAATACTTATTTCATGGAACACATCTTGCTGGGTAGGGAGAGTTTTAAAACTGCAGGTGTGTACATGCCTCTCAGATCTGAAGATTTTGAACTGCTGACTCATAGAATGAATTTCACCTTATGTTTCATTCAGAGTGATGATCTTCGTCTACAATCATTGTTCAAAACTGTCACTTTATAAACAGACCATGTCTTAGAAAGACACTGCCACTCAATCTTTCTTAATTATATTAATTTTAGGGAAATGATTTTCCCGATTTCTACTGCTTCCGTTGAAAGACAGGAAATAGTAGCTCTGTCAAGGAAGAATATAGTTGATTGTCATAAGGAGAAGCTATAGTGCTAATTAAATTGCAGCGGTGGCTACTCAACTTTCAGGTTGAAAAGCAGAACTATAGTGCAGTCTTTGCACCTCAGATTATGGCATCATTTATGATCATAAGGAACAATTAGTAATGATCATACGCAGATTTTTTTCTTCATAAGGTTTTCTTCTTAACTTCTGGGGGAATTTAGTATTCTTGCATCATAACAGTTTTGTGAGTCCTATGCCAAGTAAAAGACTACTTAATTTCTGAAGTTGCTTCAATAGCTATTGTTGAACTATTGCAAAAATTGACAGTTCAGATGAAGAGGAAGGTATAGTTACTGTAATACTGAAATGTAAAGCAATTTGTCTTTGGCATGGTTTTGGGAGGAGAGAAAAAAATGTAACGAAGAATTTATATGGGCCATTTCCCCCCCAATTTTAATGTGAGTACTTGTAGGTTCCAAATGTGTAGGATTTGAATCATCTTTTTTGTTGTGTCTTGAGGTATCTGTCAGATATTGGTATAAAACAGCTCTGTAGTTTATAGTAACAAATAGAAATTAGTAGCTCTTTGGAAAAATAAATTTTTATATTTCTACATTGTGCCCATGTCTGAAGGTCACGTCTGCTTGTCTCCCTAAACGGAAAGTAAAAAGCTGGACGGCAGAATTACCCGTAAAGCTGTTTCCTTAGGAAATACTTCGGCAGGGCAGGAATTCAGTGCTGAGATTGTAAGTGTAGGATGGCCTTCTGTCAGAATGAGGGAGAGAACTTGAGCCTGAGGCTTTACTGCTGAGGCATGGCGCTACTGATGAGATGCATCTGAAAGCCGACATACCCTCTCTTACATCTGTGTGATTTGCAAAGTGTAGTCCCTTGTGACTCAAGTTTTTCTGGGGGCAGCATGTTAAAGTGCCTGTTGGGAATAAAAAGGTAATATGGAGGTCCCCTTTATGGACACGGCAGCAGCTCTGACTCTCTTCTTGGAAAAATCTCCATAGGTGTTCCTGGTTTACACTGCTTGTTGCATGCCCCAGTGAGAACAGCAGCATCAGAGGAGTTTCTTACTTAGCGAGAGGATTTCTTGGGAAAAAGATCACTGGGTTGTAATATCTTGTAAAAGCAGTGAAACAAGCATTTCTTTTCAGGATAGCAAGTATCAGACTGCTGCATTTTAAGGCGGTGCAGAAAATGTGAGCCACAATATGCTTTGCTTCACGAGCGAGATGGACTGGTAAGAACTGTTGCTGTTTGTTTTTTTCTCTTCCCCATATTCATTTTTAGGTGATGGTTGCAGAAGCACTGAATATTTCCAGAGAAACATACTTCGCAATTTTGATGGACAGAGCCTGCAATGGACCTGTTATGGTTGGCAGTCCACAGGGTGGTGTGGACATAGAAGAAGTTGCAGTTACTAGCCCAGAACTTATCTTTAAGGTATTAAAATAATATTTTACACTAAAAGATTTCTTTGTCAGTTATCCAAAAGAACTTTTTTTTTTCCTCCCTTTCTCCTTCCATTTTTCCTTCTTCCATGTATGGAAAAAAGACAATAAGAACCATAAAAATTGTGTTTCACCAAATAGGGGATCAGACCTGTCATCTAGTAGATGAGTGAAGCGTGTTTAACATCTGATTTTGTTAGTGTTTGTGTCCCCAGCTCAATTATTTCTAAGAGCTTAAATGTGGCTGTTACATGATGTGAAACTTAATACCTGAAATGTGTTATGAGTGAGTTCCGCTTTGAGGAAGGTACACAGTTTTTTCACAAGTGGGTCGGTGCCAATATGGTTATTGTTTCTGTGGTCGTTTCTTTCTAATTGACAGAGTCATTAATTATTTCTTTGTACCTGGATGACTTTTGCATCTGAAATACAACTGTTGTAATTGCTTTCTTAACGATGACTAGATTTAAGTATTCTTTATGTTACTGTGGCATGATAATGAGTAGACAAGCTATTCATCTGGGAAAATAATTGATACAATCAAGTATAATTATTCAAAGAGATGTAAAAATATTTAATGTGTGTTTTAAAATTATATAAACTTCACAGTGTTACTGGGCAGTGACACCCATTGCCTTGAAAATATTCCAGAAGATGTCATAAAAATTAACAGACTAAATATTCGTCAACGCCATCTGTACAGTAATTAAAAGTGAAAACTGGTGTCACATTGTCTTGTCAGCGTGCCACCCTGAAGAATTATATATTTTTTGGAAGGACTGTTTCATAGTTAGTGTGGTAATTATAACATACCCTATAGGCAGCTGCTATAGCCTCAGTCTCAGAGAGCTTTGGCAAACAGCCATGCTTTAATTACTAATTTGCGAATGTATACTAAGTGTTTTCCTTTTGAAGTTCTAAATCTCTACTCAGATGGAATATTTAGTTATATTTACGCATGTTATTGTTACAGGAGGAAATAGATATTTTTGAAGGCATAAAGGATCATCAGGCATTGCAGATGGCAAAAAATTTGGGTTTCAAAGGACCTTTGCAACAGCAGGTAACTTGACTCTACACCCTCAGTTTTTACTGAAGACTTTTTAGCCCAGCTATATGATAAATGCTTTCCGAATAGACGTGAAAGATCACAACCGTTTTGACATTTTAAATACTAGATTGCACCTATATAATTGTCATCAGGCTTTAGCAATTTGAATAAGGTCCTTATTGTTCCAAAGTGAAAGTCCCTGGTACTTGAAGCAATTGACAACAACATGCTGCTGCACCGTGTGGGGTTCTTTTGATTTCATTGGAATTCCATTGGAGCTCAGTGAATTACATGGGTAGAGCTTTTTTGGAAAGTTTGCCCCTTAATATGGGGAGAAGTAAAAATGTATCTCTCTGTGTAATTGAAGGTTGTTTTTTTTTTTTTTAAAGATCTTCAATTCAAAACCAAAAGGCTGCCAGCTTGTCTTTTCAGTATCTCTTTTCTATATATATTGGAATCCTGTGTTGTACACAAATATACAAGATATTTTGCCTTTATGAATCATTTTGCAGAGAAGACAAAACCTGTTTAAGCTACTTTTGCCTGTTTTTCTTCCATAGTATCAAATTGTCATTTTTATAGCAGGCCTTTATTTTTAATTCAGCAGTTTTAATTATTTTCTATCCCAACCGTGCAATTAACAAATGCATAATCATTAAGTTGATTAACACACGTTTGAAGATTTAGCTGTATATCTAATGAGGAGGAATGATTATGTAGAACCTTTCAACCCTTGAAGAGTTTTGGTACTTAATAATTAACAGCAATGTACGGACTTTCCAACAATACAGTTAAACAATGCTGCCATGAATGCTTTTCTTTCTTAGTGCTATCAACTCAAAGGAATTACTGACATGTAGGGACATAGTTTTTATTCAGACAAATCCTAGAATTTACTTATACATTCAGTATTTCTGGGTTGGGATTTTACACTGTGCCTGAAAGAGGCTCAGTACTTGTAGACCTTGAGAAAGAGAAATGTTGACGTTAAGCTGCCTGATTCGGAGAGGTGCCGAAAGATGGAGCAGCCCTTAATAAAAGTTTAGTGATTCTGGTGGTCCATTAAAATTACAGCAGTGTACTAGGGCAACAACAGCTTCTCAGGTTGCCCAGAATCAATATGGGGTTGCACAGTGGGACTTCCTCCCTAGCATCACCGTTGGTAGCCTTACCCGTGTGGTGTTAGGATAGGTTGTCAGTTAGAGTGTTCACGATGAGGAAACTGCTGCCTTGGTGGGGGCAGATTTATAGCTGATAGTCAAAACCACTGCGAATGCTTCAGCTGATGACTTTTGAGCATGGAAGATTTCATAAGCAATTTGTATGCTGCTTCCAAACTGTAACTCTAAAGTCTTAGACTTGTTGGTCCCAAAGCTGGACATGATACTCCAGGTACAGCTGCATCAGCACTGAGCAGAGGGAGATAGGAACCATGGTCTTCCTGATGTAGTGCAGTATTGGGGTTGAGTCTTTCCAGTTGTATTATTTTGTTTCTTATGAATGGCATTGTGGGAGAAAGCTGACTTCTGGCTTTTTATTCTCATTCACTTTGCTTGTTAGAAGAGGTCCCAGGTAGTTTGGGTTTGTATGCTTCAGTTAACTGATCGGTAATGAAGGCACACATTTGAAAGGTTCTTTATTAGTGCACGTCATCTGCAAACTTATTTTGGCTAATAGGTTGTCAGTGTTTAATGAACCAAAGGGATTTTTTTTGCGCACATTCATGTTGCCGTTGTTTAAGTTGTTCTACTAATGGAAGAATGTTATAAGAACAAAAGACTTGGAAGTTAGTAGTCAGTCGCAATACTTTCGGCCACAGAATGATTCACAGAAATAGATGGTGAGAAACAATAAGGAACAAGCAAGAGTATCTTGTCAAGAGTAAAGAAGTATGCTTCTGACATGATTTCTTCAGGAAAACATTTCAGACTGATTTTGGAAGGAGAAATGGTTGGTTTTTTTTTTTCCCTAAAGTCACTAATGTGCACATACTGCTTTATGGTTTCTGAATTTACACTGATTAACATGAATGCAAGTTAGATCTCAGCATACCGGAGAATATATCATCACGAACTGTTAGGCACTTTTCAAATTAAACTTGTCATAGTAATCGTGCTGTTTATTTTGTAGAAAATCTCCAGTTCATGTAGGATTTAAATGCACATTTACGAAACGTTATGCAGTATCATAATGCTACATTATAGTTATTTTAGATACTATATAAATATGATTAAGAAAACAGAAATAAAAGCAGTAATTATCTAGAGTTAGTGTGCAATTTAATACATAAAAACAATCAATAATGGTTTACCTTTGCCTTGAAAATGTTAACTTTTATTCTTCTGTGTGGTAATTGTAAATTGCTTGATCAAATTTAGGCAGCAGATCAAATTAAGAAGCTGTATAATCTTTTCTTGAAAATTGATGCTACTCAGGTTGAAGTGAATCCCTTTGGTGAAACTCCAGAAGGGCAAGGTAAGAAATTGAAGGAGACAAATGAATGTGTTATAATTCTTTATTTATGCAAACTATAAATTAAATTGCATAGAAGGCTATAGCAGCAGCTTTGAATTAATTTCATTTTGTAATGTAATTTAAGCAATGTTCATAAATATTCCCATGGCAGATTTTACATTTCAATACCTTTTGTTTTTTCATACAAATACTGGAAGTATCGTCTTCTATGTGTTCTGCTTGGTGAGAAACAGCAACATTTTCTGCTCTTCTGCTCTTTGCACAAAGTTGATTTTTTTCTTGGGGAGTGGGTTTTTGAGCCTGGGATTTTTTTGCTAATGCTGCTATAATTTCTGAGATTGTTTGGAAAGAAAGTTTGTATTTTACGTTTGCAAACATATAGTACGTTAAAATTTTAAGTGCGTGACTCTGCAACCTACTGGAGCACCAGAAAAATTCCAGTTGGAACTGACACTTAGCTACATCCTTTGGGAAGAAAAAGGGTAATTGTTCTGCTTCCACCATGAATACAGGGCTAAGAAGGTATAGAGTAACAATTAGGAGCTGAGTTAGCTTTCACATTATTCTAGTAGTTGGTTGTCTAGCTGAAATCTTCCCTTACATTTGTCATTTTTGTCCAAGTAGCTTGGACAAAGGTGAAGAGAGGAGGAACTAAAGATGCCTGTGGTATATAGAAATAGAATAAGGCTGACCAGGTGGATCATAGTTATCACCTCGCTGTTTCTTTTGATGACAAAGCATTTTTACCCCATGCATCCATTCTTAACGCCAATATTTTACAGTATTCATGCCCCCTCCCTTTTTATTTCTTGCTTTTGATTTAAATGGATAGAGATGAGAAGTTGTGGAGCTCAGGGGGAGCTAACTGAGGCTTTGGTGTGAAAGGCTGCAGTTCACAAGCCCTAGTGACTTCCTAGTAGAGGTCCTACCTACAGAACCAGTTTATGGTTTGAGAGAAGTCTTTGACATTGGGAAGTGCTGGTGGGTGTTCCTTGAGTATTCTTTATCGATATTTGTCAAGAAAGACAATTTCAGCTTTTCACCAACTTTATAAGATATGTGTACAGATTAAAGTGGAAATTAGAAAATGAGAAGGCTTGTACCCGTTGTAACGGACATTAGGAATGTAGCTGCTTAGTTGCTGTTCCGGAAACTTTTGGAAAAAGATCACTGCTATGTCGGTTAAAAACACGAGTTCCTCATAGGAGTCAGTACCAATTGAAAGAATTAGCATTTTTAAAATACTTTCTATATGCCCACCGCTAGTTTGTAAAATAAACAGCTTTTCACTAAAAATCCATATTTTCGGCTCAGTTGATCAGGAATTCGTAAGCTGAATTGTGGCTAGAAACTATGCAGTCTCTTCCAATTGTCCAACCTTGTTTTTCCCTTTTTATTAAAAAAACAAATGCAAAAGAATTGGCAGAGAATTGTCTACAGCTTAAAAGAAAAAATTCTGCTGGTAACAAACCCTGAAAAGCTCTAGAGATGTAAAACAAATCCTGCCCCACCCGCTTTTATTAATACATCTTAAAAGATGGTGCTCTTTGATATAAAATAGGCTCTGGGACACTAAAATGCCCTATTGTAAAGTGACGTTATAGAAACAAACAGAAAAAGAAATATCTTGTCTATTAAAGTACATGAGGATAATTCAGAGACAATGATAAAAAGATCAAACGTCTTGTCAATTATTTTTAGATAATGAACTGTTTTCAGGTTAAACTAAGCTAGAAGAACGTATTTATGGCTTAAACGTATGAATTCTGCTTTGATAGCAGACATTTTTTTAATTCCTTCATGATTGGGGGCAGGGGGGTTGGTGTTTTTGTCACCAGAATCCTTTAGCTCCATGGATAGATTTTACCTTGTGAGAAGGATTTCCACCAACTGCTTTAACTCTTTTTATTCGAGAATCTTTTGCTGCACTCTGTGCTCAGATTTCCAGCTTATTTGAAACACTGTCATAACGTGCACACTGAATCAGTGCAGAAATTCAGCTTAATGAGTGTAAGTCAAATTCTTAGCCACTAACTCTAGCTGCATTGGTTCTTATGCAATCTGTGAAAAGTGTACTGGGGGAGAGAAGCAAAAAGCTCTGCTGTTGACCAGTGTAGTTCCATTGTAGGCTTTATTTTAAAGGGAAATGGAAACTTTGCCTTTAGAACCCAGTAGACTGTTGTTTTTCCCCACCATTTAAATAGATCCATTGGCCTCATTGAAACCAGTTGGGAATGAGATGAGAAGGACTTCTTCATTTTGTGTTGCACAGTGAAGTTAAAGCAGAACAATGAAATAGGGCCTTGTAAAATGAATGATTTGGGTTTTTCAGGTTCTAGCAATGTGCAGCACATGACACTTTTGACCTTTTTGAAGATGAATGGGACATTTAAAATAGGTGTGACAAAAATTGCTGGAACTTTCCTACAGATGATGATATTCACTTCAAAACAGATTCATTGATATGTTTATCTGCTATGACTGATGTACTTACCAGGTTTATTTTGTGGGTTCAAGACCACTGATACTGTAAAAACAAAATTTCCCTCCTCAAAACTTGTTGAAATATTTTTTTTTTAGTAGAATAATTGACCAAGATACCTTAACACTACAGGGCAGTATAGAAGGTACCCAGTAGTCCTTTTGCTCAATCAGCTGTCAGAAATTGGGACATTTATGACAATTGCCTTCTGGTTAGGCAGAGAAATGAGCTTGAGGTGAGATCTTTGTGCCAGGACGAGGTTGTTCTGGTATTCACAGTTGCTGGTTCAAAACTAGCTCAGATGACTAGTATAGAAGCACTTTACCATTCTGTTATTTTGGCAGAGCAAAGGACAAAATCCCCGGTTCAGTACCTACATCTTTGAGCCATGTAATCCTGCAAGGAAGATGGTTAAGTGTGTCTTGGGTGTTAGTGAGTCGACACTGTAGACATGTGTACAGATGCCAAGAAGGAAGCGCGAAGGGCAGAGACAGCACTGTCAGGTAACAGAATAGGGACATCGTTGAGGTGCTGAAGACATATTTGGCTGGGTACCGACAGAGGAGAAATTGTTAGACAAGTCGGGGCAAGTGAAGGAGAGGACAGTTACGAATGAGACGAAATGAAACTGATGGTCCTAAAAGGTTCTGAAGAACCATGGTGGTTCTAACTTTGCGTCCTTGCTGGAGTACTAGAGGTGGCACTGTGGAAAAAATGAACTCATTTGGGTAAGTTACCAACCTAGCTTTTCTGGAATGGCTGTGCATATTTTGTGAGGAGGGCTTAATTTGAGGGATGATAGGAGTTTTTAATACTTTTTTTCACCCATGTGTTTTGCATCCAGGAAGCTGAGGAGCAGAAACAGAGTGGGTTTCAAGCTGTGAAAGCCATCTTACTAGCAGACATACACAGAAGTCTTCCTGTGTTTATTTCTTTTTTGATAGCAGTTTCTCCATCTGAAATGTCTTAAAGAAGAATAAACATTAAACAAATGGAAGAACATTTGAGTAGCTTAATGCAGTTATTTCTAATGATAAAGTATACATCTCTGTACGGAGACCTTTATTCCTGTCAAAGTAACAGTTAAGATGGATTTATTTCTTGCTGGTTTTTGTGTTTTTCACTTGTGTAAATTTCCATTAGAAAATACATTGTCATATATATTTCCTTCTGTTTAATTTTGTGGCAAATTCTTTGTTAACACTATTGGGTCAGAAGCCTGTAACTGCCAATTTCTTTGGATTTTTTTTTTCCTTTGGTCTCAGTGTAAGCTGTTGAATTGGCAGATGAGAAAAATCCTACACTGCTAGCAAAAACAACAGAAGAACTCCATGAATATGTGTGTTGGAGCTTTCTTTGGTATTTGTTTAGACGAAAAATTCATTTGTATAATCTATCATGCATGTAACAATGTGCTTTTGATGGTGAAAGCAGTTTGATAAATATTAATAGGTGTTTTTCCTTCTACTTTGTACAGCATGGCCTTTGTTAAAGATGAATGTTCTGTAGAAATGAGATTCTATTACTGTGACTTTGAGGGTGTTCATGTCTAAGGTAAACAGAGCTCTGAAATTGGAGTTTTACTCTAGCTTTGAGTTGTTTTAGCAATTTAAGGAACTGAAAGCTTGAAGAAGAAAGTGGTACAGGTCTCAGTTGTTAAAAAAATTAAAGCAGCTCTAGTACAATAGAAGCACATTATGAATTTTATCAGACATTTGTCCTTTTGGCAGATTCCCATGTGGTGGTTGACCAGGTAAGATCTAGACTCTTCGAAGAGAGATTTATTATACACAAACACTCATGAATAGTTTTCTGAAACTGCAGTCACTGAAATGAAATTCAATTCTGTTTTAATTTAATCTGCTATTGCTTGCAAATCAAACGTATTTTAAAAACCCACAAAACCCCCACCACATCAGAAAACCAGAACAAGAAAACTCAATGCAAATCAAGTTATACAACTGAGACTTTCCTATTCTTGTAAATGTTTTGTTTGCTTAGATATTTTCTTCTAAGTTAAGCAATTATATTTACCAAAAAAAAAAAAGAAAAAAAGAAAAAAAAAGAGAGAGAGAAGTATTTATCCACCAAAAAAGATTGTGTGATTAGTTACTTTAATTGGTGGGTATCTATATCAAAGACTAAAAATTATCTTTTTAGTTGTAATTAACCTGTAGTTGCAGAGATGTGTACAATGCTCCTGAGCCCGTGCACACGTACCATGTATGGGCAAGATGAATCAAAACACAGGAGAAAGGAAAACTATTAGATTGTTCTGGATGCAGCATTTAAAGGCGCTTAACTCTGGTTTGCATTGAGAAATCAATTATACTTCAGTCAGTAATTATGATCTGGATATAGTACAAGTCAAATTACTTAAACAGGGAAATGGTAAGTATATAGTCTTGCATTTACTTAGAACATTTTAATCTAAGGAGGTGTTTGCCTATGCAAACCCATAGAAATAATGAGTCAGTAAATAGGCAAATAACCAGTTCACTCTGCATGCATTTCTGTTACTGTTGGTTTTATGTGAATATTGCGTCTACTAGCTAGTCTTTTGTATATATTATTTAATATAGCTTCTTCTTAATTTGTATTTACAACCATAGCGGATGTTGACATTGATGAGAAGTTTTGTGTTTACTTTTTAAATTTTCTTTATTTAGAAGTCATCTTATGATCATTTTTGACATACATTGGCTTAAAGTTGTTTTCATTCAGATCTTTAGGGAAATAATGTGTGTATAGCTAATAACATTATAAAATAAATATACAGCTAAGGAAAGCATTTTGTATTGCTCAACTATAAATGAGTGTGTGTTACCAAACATTGCTTTGGATTGCTAACCTGTTACCTGCTATGTCTGTCAGACTTTCAAAATACTGAAATGATTGCAGACCACCTGTCCAAATCCTAAAACCTGCCTTCATAACTTAGGGGAACTTTGTTTAAAGCAAACAAAGAGCACATGACTGTGCAGTGTGGAGGTGCTTGCTGTTACCTATTCTCAATATAGGATTTAAGGAAAACTTGCCCTTCTCTACTGGACTCATGCTGGAACTGCAGCTGATCATATGTTAGAAGCAGCATCAGTCCCTAAGCAGCATTCTCCCCCTCCCTGCTGAATAGTCGTAATATTTCAGAAGCTCTAACTGTAATCTCTAAATGCCGATATGTTGTTGTGTTGTTTTTTTCTTTAGTTGTTTGTTTTGATGCCAAGATAAACTTTGATGACAATGCAGAATTTAGGCAAAAAGAAATATTTGCCATGGATGACAAGTCTGAAAATGAGCCTATAGAGAACGAAGCTGCCAAATATGACTTAAAATATATAGGACTGGATGGAAATATTGCTTGCTTCGGTAAGAATGAATAAATCCGAAAGACATTTGAAGACAACTTCATACTTGTTCAGTGAATAGATTTCGTTTACGCTCTGACATTCAATCCACCCTTGACAGTACTTCAGTCTGTTTTGCTGAGGTTGTCTGTCCTTCCACAAGTTCTTGCAGGAATGAAGCTAAAATTGTGTTGAAACTGTGATGAAGGCTGCAGAAAACAGGCAGAGCATGTGTGGGGTCAGAGAGAAGGCAGGCTAAGGGAGATGCCTGCGTCAATTCTACATTCTGAATTTTTAAGCTGATGAGTTGGTCTTTCCAGTAATTAATGCAAAACAAGAAAAGTCATCGAAATTTTATCATTAATTTTCAAAAATGAGACTGTATTACTTAAAAGACAAAAGTATCAGTGTAAAAATATGATATTCCCCCTTACAATTGAATATTGAACTCCATTTCCCTTTAAGGAAAGCTGCTAAAGAAGCTGCTTGGTTGTTAAAAGGAAAATACCAGGTTTTTACTTTCCTGAAGTTTCTGTAGAACAGAAATTACTCTTGTGTTTAGAAGAGATAAGTAAAAAAGTCAGCTACGCTCTAAATAATTTTAATTTTGTACAAATTCTTTTAGCCAGTACAACATTTTATTACGAATCTAATTGAATTAGTCATTTTATCTCAACTTGGTGAGAAAATGTCCAGCATTTACATTGCTTAGATGTATCCTCTAACCACAAATCTAGAAGATACTGATAATGTGTTGCCATTGATTCAGTGACAGTGAGACTTAAATCTCAATTTAAAAAAAAAAAAACAAAAAAACCCCCCAAAACCAAAAAAAACCCCAAACCCCAAAACAATAATTAGCACTACTACAGTATTTTTAATTTTTTTTTAGTATTGGATATCACTGTTGAATTACAAGTGACACAGAAGCCTTAGTTTGCCCAGCAGGAGCAACTTACTGGGGACAAGTAATTCTTACTTACTTTTCCTAGCTTAGAGGATGTTTGTGCCCATGGGAGTGCTTCTGGACTGGTGCAAACACAAAATAAAAGGTAGTTTCAAGAGTGTCTGATATCTGTCCCCAAAATTTAGTTGTCTGTTGTACAGTAATACAAAGCGTCACCTACTGCTATCAGAATGATGGGAGGGGAGCTTAAGGAGTCAATTTGTCCTTCACGTCTCATGATGCAGTCACTGCTCCCAGAAGTTTTTGCATGTGGGCTTTTTTTAAATCAAAAGTTCTTGCATTTCCACAATTAACCTTCCAGTGCTCATCCATGCTTAAGAGAAGGTGCATGTCTAAGTCCTAAATTGATACAGTCATAAAGAAACCTAAATGTTGGTGTGTATGCACCAGATTTGGGTTATTTCTTGCATTGGATATCCTTGAATACGTACTGACCTATTCAGAAATAGGTATTTATGTAATGTTTTGAGCCATGTTATGTGGTTGTGCTGATGTGTTTTAAGCCTTTTCACAAATCTTTTATACTTTTATGTGACATGTAAGCACTTGATGTTTACAATTACAGTCAACGGAGCTGGACTTGCAATGGCAACATGTGACATAATATCCTTGAACGGCGGCAAGCCAGCCAACTTCTTGGATCTCGGTGGAGGTGTGAAAGAAGCACAAGTATATCAAGCGTTCAAGCTGCTGACTGCTGATCCAAAGGTAAAAAAGATCATTTTGGACCAGAAGCTTCCCTGTGCAGCAATGTTATAGGGCTACGAATAGTATGATGAAAAATACAAGTAATGGTGTGAATGCTGAGGATGAATTACTAAAGGGGCGATCTGGGAGGAAAATTACTTCCCTGTGAGCCACTGGACTGACTTTTCAGTTCCTGATCCACACTCAGGTTTGCTGGTCAGCCTTGAATGGGTACTTTCTCAAGGCAGTTCAACACAGAATGCAGATGTGGTGATGCTGGATGTTGCGGTGCTGGACATTGCAGTGCTGAACTTTGAACATCTGGCTCCTAAAGTGGAATTTGTGAGCAGATTTAGATGCATAAAACATCATTCCTAACAGTGTAGTGCCCCAGTAGAGTGAGAAGGAAATTGGGAATTAAGTAAATAGCTAATCCTAAAGGCTGATTTGTACTGTTTTAAGCTCGAGGTTTCTAAAATGTCTGATTCTGCACTGCAGGATAGTCTGTTTAATTAGTATTCAGAGGCGGGAATTGTAGCCTGGTACGTTCTAACACTTCCTTTTGCAGATGGAAGTGCAGTTGCTCTTTTCTTTTTGAACAACAGAAGATATTAGTCTGTGTGTATTGAGTAGAAGTTATTTCTAGAGATGCATGTTAGCATGCTGGGGTTATTGGTCCTCTTTGCAGACAGAAGTAGAATATCTACTGAGAGACTATTGATCAGGCGTAGGCATTGGAGCAGTGCCAGCTGACCATCCCTGCCAACGCGGAGTTATGCTTTTGTGTGGAGCCAGAAGTTAAGTTGCTGTAGATTTTTTTTTCACTGAAGAAAATCTGTTAAAGTGCTTTGATCATCTTTTCCATCTCCTGCACCTAAACATCTCTCCTGAAGTCCCAGTTTCAACATTTTGCCTCTTTTTGTGCATCTGCCTTTATCTCCTTTATCTCTCTTTTTCTGTGCTTCTGTTAATTTTCCACATGTTCATTGTGTCTGTGATATTAGCCCCTCTAAATACCACCTCCCTGTGAAAATTGCATCGCTATAATTGTATACCTTGCGCAGCAGTAAGTGACAAAATGTTAGGACTTTTCAAAGAGAGGTGGTATTGTTTGCAGAAAAATTTCAAGGCAAAATCAGGAGGAAAATTTAAAATACAAGATAAGCACCGGTCAACTTCATATTGTAAGTTGTAACTCTCCTTGCATGTTTTTAAGGCACATAGTAACTTGATGGCTCAACTGTACTAGGGAGAGTCATCTGCAATATTTAAAACATTCTTCCTGGATCTTTTTGCATTCCCATAGACCTGAGTGGTGCTGACCTTTTGTTTATAGAGGTCTAAATTTATGTTCTTCCCACAATCCACCGGTAGAGAGCTGGTTGTCTCCTTTCACGTAGTGATCTTACAAGCATCAAGTTGTTAACATGCCTAAAAGAACACAGACCTGGAGAAAGCAGAGAAGCAAGATATCTTGCCTGGGGCAGAAGTAAGACAGGAAGGGACTTGAGATTCATGCTAGAAAACCTGATAGTTTCCTTCATTGTCTGATTCTAGCAGATACTGTTATGCTTGTCTTCATTTGTATGAGTTTTAGCCATACTCAGGACATTACATGAAGATTTGTTTGTGTGTGTTTGAGTTGTTCTGCAGTGCGTGCTTCGTATGATGATCAAGGTTTGGCTGAGATGTAATTTAGTTCTGAAACTTGTGTTAGTGGTGGAGAAGCAGGTGCAGCAAAGTCTTAGATACGCAACTTAGCTGATAATTATCAGTATGCTAAATAGATTCTTCTGTCTGCTACAGCACAAACATCAGGTATTAATTTTGGTGGTGAAACTTACTGAGTTTAAACGATTTTAAAACAAAAGGGCATCTCCAACATCTGCATGCCCAACATTTGACTTGTAAATGTATCCTTATTCTATTGTATATTTTGCTTGTATCTTACTGCTTAACACTAGCTGCTTACACCAGGGCTAGTGAAGCTATGCTAAGCGAGGCAGTGGGGCAAAGTAAAAGGTAGCATGGAAAGGACCTAAAATAGTCATTTATGCTTCTCTGTAGGCACAGCTGTAGTTGTGCCATTCCTGGCTTTGACTGGCTGAAGATGCAGAAGGCTTTAGCCTAGATGCAACACAACTCATATCTCATTAATCTGTTCCCTCCTCTCCTCCTTTTGAATGCCTTTTCTGATCTTTTCTCCATTCACAGGAAGAACCACAGAACAGCTCCATTGCATTTCTCTTTTGCCTGTTCTTTTTGTTGCACTCCAGTAAAAATAGGGAGCATAACTGCTTATAGATAGGAGTCCCACTAGACTCTATTATTTTGTATGGTGCAGGGGAAAGAGGGTGCTTCTGAAAGCTGCCTGCTCCAGGGAACATAGTCCATAGCAAGCTTGGATGCATGTACATAAGTGGCAGCATTGTTGGCCACAGACATTGTGTTTTTATTGAGATTTAATGGTGTTGCCCATTTTTAAGTTATTAACATTGGTTCTTTTGAGCCTAGACCTGCACGTGACCAGTCGTACCACAGTTCTTATCCCTGAGAGGCTTGCCGTGTTTGAGTCACTTTGGAACCGTTTCTTGTCAGCCCTTTCAATTTGACTGATTTTGCCTTTATTTTATGTCACTGTGACCATCAGCAATACTGTTTCAGTTCCATGTGACATCAGATGAAAAATTTCTCTTAGTGTTAACTGATGAAGGGTATGTACGAGACTAAATTAGGATTAGGGAAGATATGCTGATATCCTGGTACATAACAGGAGACTGTCGCAGCCCTGGCAGTTGTATCAGCCTAACATCAAAGCCCTTGTTTTCCTTACTGCTCTGCAGTTGTATGTTAATAGAAGTTTACTCACTATTAAAAAAAATAACATTTCATGTTTTATTTAATTCTGTTCAGAAGAGATAGTAAATATCTGTTATTTCCTCTCGTGATACACCGTGTCCATTAGCTCACGAATATACAGTAAGATAATGGAATGAATCATCTCTTTTCTTAACTAATAATAGGCTTTCAATCCCAAGAGTCACTGTGGCTAATGCAGCACTCACAGTTTGTACCTGGTCAGTCATTTCCCTCTAACGTTTAACCTGATTCCCACCTTGTTTGAGAAGATAAAAATTTGCTCTTGGGAACTTGGGAGGCAATTAATTGTTGTGAATGTCTCCAAACAACATTGAGCCTCTGAGGAAGACTATAAACAAACAAACAAGTCTGCAGGGCTGTAATGTGGAAAAGCACTGTCTTTTAGTTGTGCTTGAAATGTGTCACTGGCAGTGTTAAGGACATTGCAAGAGGAGAAATCTTTCAGAAGGAAATGTTCAGCTGCACTTTGACATAGATCTCCTTCTCTCTCTTTAGTTGTCTTTAAAATGTCTATTTTGTATTAAAGCAAAAAAATACAGGTATGCCATGATTTGATTTAGTGAAGCTGGGGATATTGTTTTTGAGAAAAATGAAGAACTTGGCTGGTTTGCTGCTGGTTTAATCTGGCTGTTGTCACTATCTATAATTCTTAAAAAAAAAAAAAAAAAGAAAAGGTGGATTTTTTTTGTTGTTGTTGCATAAGGTTACCCACTGGCTTTTGGGTGGAAATACTGTCTCTGGAGTCAGTGATCCTTTTATACTCTGCTGGTCTTGTTTGCAGTGTGCCATATCCAATACTGCCTAGGTCAGACAGGGCATTGCAATCTGTTGTTCTGAATCCCTTTTTTTTGGCCATCTAAATTCCAGACTCTTTGCTTTCCCTTTGCTTTCCCTTTGCTTTCCCTTTGCTTTCCCTTTGCTTTCCCTTTGCTTTCCCTTTGCTTTCCCTCCTTCCTGCCTGTCTTGTTTCTATGAGTTTGTGTGTGCATCTGTTTTGGCAGAAAATGAACCAATGAACTGTCTTCCCTCTTTTCAGGTTAGTAACAGGAAAGGGGAATATGGCTCAATTGGGTGTTCAAGCTACTGGGAGACACTGTGGGAGCTTCGTTGCTCCTCTTTGTCCCACAGTCAAGTAGAAGAAGTTGTTTCCTTCAGTATTTTGGAGGTTCTGAGCGATGCCTGGCTCTCCTGTGCATGTATGAAGTGCTGTTTCAGCCCTCCTCACTGAAGTCCTCATCCTTGAGTACTCTGACATTCTTACCAAGCTTAACAGGTGCTTGTGTTTATTCCAGCTGAAGACCTAACTGTTTTATTTACCATATGATGACTGTTTGTAGGATTCAACAAGGCTTTGGGAAGGCTAAAGCTGAAAAACCAGTCTTGTCAATAAAACTTCAGTCTGGGGCACTGAAGCTTGGTTGCCATCTCTGCAGTCTTCTTTGGCTTGCAGTCATCCCACATTTCTGACACTCCTAAATTAATGTGGGTTTGTCTTTCAGTTTTTTTATACATATTGCAGAGAGAGTCATGTCAGGTTGGCTGAAATTGTTTCAAATGTCAGGCTGGCTGAATTGGGATTTGGGAAGACCCTGGTGAGTATGAGAGCTCATAATGACTAGGCTCTTGGTGAGATGTATTTAGTGACTACAATTAAGCAAAGGCCAGAAGCATCTTACCTACAACCTGAAACAACTCACATCCTCTCCCTTTTTCTCACATGCTGTCTTGACAGAATAAAAGTAGTACCGTGTAGGTTACTGGTATAGTTGCCCATTAATGCTGACATAAATGGTATGTGTACTTGAGATGTGACCCAGATGTAGAACCACATAGTCTTTCCTCAGGCTTTTGGCTATACACAATCCCTTTCCTTTGTTGTTCTGACTCCCTAACTGGAACTAAAATACAGAAATATGTATAATAAAAAAGCAAACTAAGCAATAAGCAGGTTTGATTTACCATTGACTAGCTCTAGTCCTGAACTTAACAGTTGACCCATTAGAAAGTATCACTGAAATATAGACAGTTAAAGACCAAGATTTTTGTTGTTGTTCTCATTTTCCCCCTAAAGCTCCTTTGACAACCTTTTTTGAAGCCTGTCCTTGATGATACGACTAAAGACTTATCAAATCAATTGATGT